GTGTGCCCAGGGCTCTGTGAGCTCCGGGCAGCGCTGGCTCTGGCAGCCCCAACCCCGAGGCTGCCCTGCTGCCTGCTCCCCCTCCCGGCCAGCGTCCCCTGGGAACCAAGCGCTTGTGCGGCCCCTCCGGGGAGATGCCCGTGCTGCCCACCTCACTAACAGCGTTTTTGTTCTACGGGTGGTGCACCTTGCAGAGGCATTGACACACAGAAAAAAATATTCCGCACATAAGTGGAAAAAAACTGCTAATAGGTGAAAAACATTAGAGGGAATATTGTGGCCGGCCGTGCTGCTCAGTTCCTCTGCTCCCCTGCCAGCTTCCCTACCCTGCTCTGGCACCTACAGCCATAATCAGAGCCCCCACCAACTGACTGACACCCCCAAAAATCTTAAGGCTCTTCCCCTCGGGGTCCCTGGGTGGGGCCCTGAACCCTCCTCCTGTCTGATCATTTCTTGTCCCTTGGATTTAGCTGAGTTTTGGGCTCAGAGGTTTCTCCCCCCTGAGCTGGGCAGGACACGTCCCTAGTGGGTGGGGTCCCCTACCCCCACTGTCCCAGGAGGGATCCCCACCCCCACTGTCCCAGGACTGCGATTGGTGGGTTTGGTTCCTACAGCGTAAACAAAACTGAAGAGCCAATTGGAAGCTGACAGTGAAAATCTTGCAGGGACGCTGGCTCCAGCCTCGGCATTTCCCAGAAACCGCCCAGCTGCAGGGCGGGGTGCTGGGGCAGGGGGGCACACAGAGCCCAAAGGTCACCGGCCTTCCCCTGCTGAGCCCAGGCCTGACGCACTGCGGGCCGGCGCTGGGGCAGCGCGGTTGCTGCTCGGGTGGTCACAGAAGTGGGGGCCGAGCTCTCGCAGGGCCGGGAAAGGACAGATCCCAGGCTGTCGGCCCCCCCCCTGCGGCCAGCCCAGAAGCTGCCTGTGTCCCTGGTAGCCCCAGGCCGGATGGAGGGAGCGCGCTGGCTGCAGCACCTGTAGGCGGCCGGTGAGGACTCCCCCTGCAATCGCCGGTTGGCTGCCAACAGCGGATCCTCCCGCCCACCCGGCCTCATTCCTCACCGCCGGTTGTCTGTCTGCAGGGCTGGGGTGGCCCGTGACATGGGTAAGGGAGAATAGTGACGCTCCAGGGGCCGGGCGCTGGGGAAGGCTGGGGTACCGTGTGGCAGCCTGACTATCACAGCCACCCGGCAGGGCTGGGGCCGGGGCTACAGCATGGCAACCCCAGGCCTCCAAGTGGCCAGCAAGGCTCAGGCTGGATTGGCCGGGGCCGGGGCTGCGGATTGCCTTCCCCATCCCGGCCTGTGCTGCAGGGGACGGCCGCCATTCAGGTAATGTTGGATCCTCCGGCGTTCTCTGCAGACACAGCGCAGGAGTTGGGGGGGAGCTTGTCACCCCAGAGGTGATGGGGCCGGTGGAGCGAGCGCTGTGCTCCCTGCTTCAGACTGGGTTTCCATTTGGGATGCCAGAGAGTTGCCGAACACCTGGCGACCCTATTTCCGTCTCGAGAGGGGAGAGATCAGGGCAGAGCTGCACGTGGGGCGGGTTCATGAATCCTTCTCCCACCCTGGTGGGCGTGTGGGGAGAAGACAGGGCCCTACAGGGCCACAGTCCTGAACACATGGAAAGCCCAGCCATGCATGCGGCATATGCCAGGTGCTCAGGACGCAGGAATGGCTCAAGCCAGCCCTGACACCCAGGAAGGCTCAGGCTGGATTTGGCAGGGCTTGGCTTCAGGACCGGGGCTGGCGATTGCCTTCACCCAGACCTGTGCTGCAGGGGACGGCCGCCATTCAGGTGATGTTGGATCCCCCGGCGTGCTCTGCGGACACGGCGCAGGGGTGGGGAGGAGGGGCTCTTCCCACCCCAGAGGTGATGGGGCCGGTGGGGTGAGCTCTGAGCTCCCTGCTTCAGACTGGATGTCCGTCTAGGGTTGCCAGGTGGTTTCAGAAAAAATACCGAAAAAAAAAGCCCCACGCTGGGAAAAAGTTTGCCAGGCAGAAAATAAAAAGGGGGCCCCCAAGAATTGTTAAGCAAAAAACATACAAAACCAACCCACCACCGTGGCCCCTTTAAAAATCCCGTGGTGAGTCTTTTGGGCCCTATCAGGCTGCCAATGGCTGCCAGCCTTCTTGCCTTCCTGCATGGGGCCCATGTGGGCACTAGGGATGCCAGGCTGCCTCCGTATTCAGCCGGACAGCATTGTAGGTGTCCGGTATTTTCTGAATTTTTTTACCATACAGGAGGCAAAAATTCCCACATACTGAACACCTGGCAACCGTATTTCCGTCTCGAGGGGAGAGATCAGGGCAGAGCTGCACGTGGGGTGGGTTCATGAATCCTTCTCCCACCCTGTGGGCGTGTGGGGAGAAGGCAGGGCCCTGCAGGGCCACAGTCCTGAACACGTGTAAAGCCCGGGGCTGCCAGGTGCCCGGTATTGACCCAGACAGTCTGGTATTTTTTCCTCCTGTCCAGTAAAAAAAATCAGAAAATACTGGACATCTGAAATGTTTGGAATTTTTTGTTTCTTTCCCAGCCGGGGGTGAGAACCCCAGACTGTCCAGGTCAATACTGGACCCCTGGACACACTCAGAAACAGGTCCCAAGCCCCCCATCCTTCCCCACTTCCCTGGTTCTGCAGCGGAGCTGTCTGACCCGGAGCATGGAGACACAATCTGGCTGCCAGCGAATGGCAGTCTCCTAGTTCCCAAAAGCCTCTTAATGCGGCCATGCTGGTTTGCTAGTTTTTTAAATTTCTTTTTCTCAACAACTGTGATCTCTTCCCACCCCCCAAACAGATTTTCACTGGTGGGGCTTTTTGGGGGGGGGGGTTCGGTAATTTTTATTAATCTGGCAACCCTAGAA